AGGGGAACTTTTTAAAGGGAAATATTGAGAGGTTTATACAAAGTGGTTTTCCTGGACAGCTGACAGGACCTGTGTTCTTAGATGTGTCAGAATCCCACAGATCCTCTCATCCCCCTCAGTAACAATTACTGTAAGACTTTAACCTCATTCCCACCGCCTGGAGTGCAACAAAACACACTAAATAATGCACAGTGGAACGGGGATTTTTTGTTTCAGGCAAGTTGCATTTTATTATTCCTAAACTGCTGCCTCACGCTCCTGTGATTGACGCTGACTGCACATCAAAGACAGGAGGCAATATTTAGTGGATATTATATTTTACAATCTGTTTTTATTCGTATCTTACTCTACTTGTATATTGTTGACATATTTCCACATCTTACGTACACCATTGTGTCACTTTCTTTAAGTCATTTGTACATTGCCATGTTGGAGGAGCTTGGGTCTGAGGATTCTTAATTGCCACACATACGCTGTAGCTATTGAGAATATAACAGAAAGCCTTTGAATGTACGCATGTCTTCGGGCTCGGTCAAATACATGAAAGGAAATACCTCATAGTTAAATGAGAGGGTATTTATTCCTGCGGTCTGCACACTAGTGTCATTGATGTTCTTTTCTACGAGTAGAAAGTGAAGGTGACAGAGCCTCGGGCGTCCCCCCTCCCCCCCCTCCCTCCACTCTCTATGCTGGAAAATAATACGTTTTGTGAATATTTGAACTCATTTGTGTTGTGTTGGTTAGTGTTTGCTTGAATCCAACAGTGAGCCTCTCGAGCCATCATTTACACAGATTTTAAAACGGGGTTATTATAGTCCTGCTTTGCTCAGGGTTTATCATTTACGACTGGAAAATGACGGTAAACGATTATGAAGTATAATCAATATCCACTAGATGGAGACATTGGATTGATCATGGACTCATATTTCGGGCTATAAAAGTGCCTCCAGTGAAGAGATGCTAATGGTGAGTTTGTAAGGTGGAATGTGCATAAGAATATATTTAAAATGGACTTATATCTATAAATAATATGTATGAAGGAGATGTTCCATGTTCAGCTTGATTGTTATTATAAAATACAGAATGCAAGACACACACACACACACACACACACACACACACACACACACACACACACACACACACACACACACACACACACACGTAAGTATTAACAAAAATAATACAAATTAACCTTATAATATAACCCTATTCCAACTCCGTATCTTCAAATGTAATTATTTTCCTTTTGTACGCTTTTGGAGATTCTTGGAGTCCTTGTTGGATGTAAACAGTACCATGTCCTCACCATATCATCAATACAAGTTAACACACACACACACACACACACACACACACACACGCACACACACACACACACACACACACACACACACACACACACCACACACACACACACACACACACACACACACATACATTTGTGCTCTATTATATGAGGACCTTCATTGTTAAAAATGTATTTTCTAATCCCCCTAACCCTAACCTTAGCCATCACAACATAATACCCAACCCAACCCCTCACTTGAAACTAAACCTTAACCTTGTTCCTTAACATTAAAGAATTATAATTAACTCTCAAACTGTTCTTTAGAAATGTAGGAGAACCACTAACCAGCACAAATGTTCTCACTCTTCACCAATTACTTTCCCTCCAAGGTCTAAAATCAAATGTGTCCTCAAATCTAGAATATGCACCACAGCCAACCTTTTCTACTCAGAAATGGAAGGAAATCAGAACCAACCAGCACATTGGTATTTCATTATTTGCAGATGAGCGGCTGTGCGTGTCTCTGTCCGTGGTGCTGAGCGTCACTTCAGCACCACGGACAGAGACACAACACTTACAATCAGCACTTTTGAAACAGGGCTGAAACAGAGGAGATTACGGGATGCTGCAATGATGGGAATGCCAAACACTTCAGAGACATGTTTTGTATATATCTGAGACCTGTAATATATTGATGGAAAACAGTATAATAACGAAGCAAACACTGAACGCATCATGCAGCACGGTGTGTTTCCGTTTAGATCATGAAAAAGTGGATGACAACAGTGCTGCTTTGGTCTCTATGCACACATTAAAGGTCTCCTATCATGCAAAATCCACATGCAATATGTGTCCCCGGTGTGTCCGGGACCTCAGGCAGCATCAGAAAATGAAACCCTCTCTCTTTTCCTCCGTACCCACATCTCTAAAAACGGGGGTACAACGGAGCTGATCCAGATTTGCGTCCGATATGACGTAAATGGTAAATGGACTGTACTTATATAGCGCTTTATCCAGTCTTTACGACCCCTCAAAGCACTTTACATGTCATTCAGCCATTCACACCCATTCATACAGAGCAGTACCACTTGCTCTAGGACCTAACATTCACACACCGTTGGCCATGCCATCGGGAGCAACTCAGGGTTAAGTATCTTGCCCAAGGATACATCGACATGTTGACTGCATGGGCTGGGATCGAACCCACAACCTTTTGGTTGAAAGACGACCGCACTCCCTCACAGCCACAGTCACCGTAATATCTGAAATGTGGGCTGGCTCTACGCCCGCGGTCCTATCAGACATATTTGTATATATCTGAGACCCATAATATATGCCTAAAAATAGCACGATAGGAGATCTTTAATGCATTCAAAATTATAACAAAACAGTTTAATATATATAATTCTGAAATGGGCCATACTGCAGGGTAAGTACTTTACTTTTGGTACTTGAAGTACATTTGCATTCTTATCATTTTGTACTTTTACTTGAGTACAATTATGAATGCAGAACAGAGTATTAACACTGTAGTAATGCTGATTTGACTGAAGTATCCGAGTACTCCTTCCACCTCAGCCCTTTATGACAGTATGTTGTGAAATATATAAAAGACAGAGAGAGAAAGCAAACTCCTTTCGCTCATTTCCAGTGAAACACATTTATTTCTCCCCCGCCGTTCCACTGTGTCTCCCGAGGGACCCCCTGCTGTGCCTCCATATATTTATCTTCTAATAACAGGCTGACCGTGTGTGCATGCATTTCTTCACAGAGCAGAATAATGAGTCACACAGCGGCAGAAACAACCTCCTGTGATTGAATACAATGACAAACAACACTGCAGGACCTCCGTATAAGCAAATAAGCCTATTATTGTTTCTATCCTATCTGTCAGAAAGGACCTTTTCTGTGCATCTTGGCCAGTATTCTTCAGCTGCAGCCCCACTAGCATATGGGGTCCCACAAGGCTCTATCCTAGGCCCCATGTTGTTCAGTCTGTATTTACTACCTCTGGGGTCAATTTTTAAAAAGCATAACATTTCTTACCAGTGCTTTGCAGATAATCTGCAGGTATACCTGCCGATAAAAGCAAATAAGGAATCTAGGATTGCCTTGCTTAGCTGTCTGAAAGACATACAATCATGGATGGAAATAAACTTCCTGACTCTCAACGAAAACAAGACAGAGATTATAATATTTGGACAGTCTGAACTCCTGGATGGCTTTAATAGCGTACTCGGCCCCTCAGCCCCCTACAGCCGTCCCTCTGTCAGAAATCTTGGAGTCATCTTTAACAACTGTTTTAAATTCGACAAACAGATCAGCTCAGTTGTCAAGACAAGCTTCTTCCAGCTGTGGCTTCTGGGGAAGGTAAAAGCCTATCTTCCTAGTAAGGAATTTGAACAGCTAATCCACTTATTTATAACGTCTCGTTTAGACTATTGTAACTCCCTCTATATTGGTGTTGACAAGTGTTTGATCCGTCGCCTGCAGCTGGTCCAAAATGCGGCTGCACGCCTTCTTACTGGGAAGAGACGTTATGACCACATCACACCCGTTTTGGCAGACCTTCATTGGCTTCCTGTCAGTTACAGGATCCAGTTCAAGTACTTACTTGTTGTTTTTAAATCATTGCATGGACTGGCACCACATTACCTGTCTGAGTTGTTGCACCGCCATGCTCCAGCTAGAGCACTGCGCTCAGCTCAGCAGAATATGTTGGCGGTTCCTCGGAGCAGGAAAAAAGCCAGAGGCGACTGGGCTTTCAGTGTTGCAGCTCCCAGACTGTGGAACAGCCTCCCAGCACATATCCGGACTGCTGAGTCTATTGAACCTTTTCAATCTCAGCTAAAAACTCACCTCTTTGCACTGGCTTTTAATACTAGTTTCTTTTATATGTTTCTAGTTATTGTGCTTTTTATCATGTTTTTAATTATTGTTTTATTATTGTACTCCCATTGTGTTATTTAATATTGTAGTTATTGCCTGTACAGCACTTTGGTCAACTGAAGGTTGTTTTAAATGTGCTATATAAATGAATAAAGATTGAGATTGAGATATTATCATATATACACTCATGTTGTCTGGCCTTGCATAAGACTTATTTCATACTGTACTGAGATGTTATAAAATAATAACAAGTAAAGGGACTTTTTTGCATAGGCATACTATAATATGACTTTTTGGGATATTATACAAATACTATAAGATTTTTTGATTTAAAGAAAAATTGAAATACCATGTGGCTTTTTGCAACATACCTTTTTTGACACATTATAGTATGGCTTTTTCATATTATATTTAAAATACTATAATATAATATTTAACATAGTATTCTACAACTTTAAGATGTTGACAAACTATATTATAATTTTTGCGTGACTTTTTTTGTATATATCCGCCATTTTAGGCTTCATATATTTGACTCAGTGTATGTATTATTTTGTACTATTTTTTGACATACTATACTATGACTATGATAACAATATTTTTGACATATTCTCAATTAAAGGTGTTTTAAACTTCACTAATGTACACAACCTAACTGTGGCTTCAAAAAGCAATAGCATGAGAATGCATGATTGCAGTTTGATATTAACATCATGGACTAATTATTAAAGTACAGTTACACGTATACCACGCCTGTGAAGTGCTGACATACTGCAGAAACACACAGAACACACAACCATACAAATACGAGACTCGCAGCTAGATTCAAAAACAACTTTTTATTGGCCAATTTACAGAAAGTGCTGTAGTGACCATTGCAAAGAAAAACAGACCAAAGAGTCCAGAAAGAAAAACGGAAAACTTAAAAAAACAAAACTTTTACACATTATACTGTACAAGGTATCCATGTTATTTTCACGGTCCTCCTCTTTCTAAAACAAACGTCAGGAAGGACAACATTAGGGCGGGGGGTCGATGCAAAATCCACCAACGGTTTTAGTGGGGGGGGGGGGGGGGGGGGGGGGGGGGTGCAAGGAGGGGGGCGACGGCACGAGAACAGGTGTCACAGTAGATGAGGAAAACTCTTAAACAACATATGGGATATTTACATGAACATATAGCTACAGTTAAACATACAGCAGGTTCTCCAGCTACACCTCACTAGAGCTGTGTCTCGATCTGATACTTTACTGAAACACTGCCATGTTGTTTGTGTGGATATCGACCGGGTTGTGATGTTTCAAATTGTAAAAGACCGCTGCTGTGCTGTCGTTGTTAGCCAGCTATCTAGTTTTTCACGGTAGCAAATCATTACTTTAATTCACCCAATAAAAGTAATGGTGGCTTATTTTCGACACCAGTATAGTGGTAGGTTAAGGTTTAGACGAGATCAACATGTCCACTACTTTTCCTCGAAGTAAGGCCACGCCCCTTTTTGTGTGAAACGACCCGCTGTCATTTGATTGGCAGTAAATCCAAATGTGCGACTTTTTTTTAATCTACAAGGAGCCCAATTACGATGGTCAGACTGGCAAACAATTAAACAATGTATTTGGAGATAGTGACGTAGCGCTGCTTTCATCTATAGTAAATAGGGGAATAAAACCCACATGTCTAACTTTTATTTGTATAGTGCTGTGTTCATTAAAGCAACCACAATAGCAGCTGAACTAGCATTAAGTAGCCAAGATGGCGGTTGTTGAGAGTGAGAAGTGTCCAGCGTTTTTCACTCAACTTTTTAAATGTTATGAGTGCACCATTTGGGTATTTATAGTGTGAACTTTCACTCAAAGTATGCAAATTGAGACACAGTAAGTTGGAGGAAACTCTCTAGTGGTTGTGAGTTTAACAAACCTGGTTTTATCTGTGGCCGACTTTAGCCACTAAACACGTCACATGGTACTCATTTTTCTATTGTTTGCGGATTCTTTGCTCCCAAACGATACAGACAGACTCAGGACGGCCACAGCCAGAGATGAATGCCCTTTCCCTTCAAGGTGAGGAACCCTCCGCTGGGTTTTGTCATTACGTTGATGTGACACAGCCAAATGCACGTCACCTTTGCAATTCAGCGGCACCAACTGCTGCTCATGAAATGGGATTTATGTAGCCTGACATCACCTCTAGACCCACATTTCTTTCATTAACGCTGCATTTCATTCTAAGTTAGCTGTTGGAAAAGTTTCTTGCAGGTAAAGTCTAAACAAATATTATGTTTCCATGGGACAGCTCGGTTTGTTCTGTTCTGTGAGATCTGGCAGCATAAGCTAGCTACCATTATCAGTAAATTACAAAAGTGATAGGGTGTTTAAATAAAGTGCATGCTATGGAGTTGTGTTTCGAGCCACTACTAGCCCCATTATTCAGCTGTATCAGTGCCACCTCATTATAGTAATCATATAGCTTTTATAATATTTGATATTGTTATATTTTAAAGTAGTGCAGGTTTACTGTTAATTATAATAGTTCTCTAGTTTTATCAACTTTATTTTAGTTGTTTTAATATATATTAATATTATTTACATATGTGTGCCTGTGTACATATCTCTCATACCATTTCTTGTTGGTTTGTCTTTCTTCGTAGTTTAACTATTAAAAAACGTGTTTTAGTGTTTCTAACTACATTTTATAATTATGATATTCTATATTATCCTTGATCGAAATGTGAAAATGACCCATTAGAAACATATATTGTTGTATGGAAAAAACAACTAAACACATATATCGAATTGATCTAATGCATTTCATGATAATGGCCTCAAAAATATATATCTTTGTCAAGTTGTTTTTTTTACATTTTATCTTCCATTAATTCAAATGTCAAGGGCCTGTTTATTTATTATATTTTATTTCATTTAGCTGATGCTTTTATCCAAGGTGACAAGTGCCTTCAACCGTGAAGAACAACCACAACACCTCCTATCTCTTTTTTATCTACGAAGCAGAGGAAACAGGTGAGTTTTCAGTCTGCGAATCAATGTGTGACCCTCTGATGTCTCTACACATGAATTACCCTTTTAAAAAGTGACGATGCCTCACAGTGAACATCTCTACAATGCAGCATTAATGAAAGCAGGACTTTGATGGTGCTGTAAAGGTGTAGCAATGAGTACTCGGACCTCGCTGCTGTGACCACACCTGAGACGGAGATTCAATCCGATCTTTTGGACTACATCTGAAGCGTCTGTTAAAACGTTCCCAGCGCAGCTTTACCTCCTGCTCACGGTCCATGGTGGGAACATACATATGATGGATGTCATGTGTGTTGTATACAGGTGGAGAGGAGGGTTTCTGGGGGGAGAAAGTGGTGTTTGGGAGTGGGGTGGGGGAGGGGGTCACCTACTATACTCACTATTTACAAGAAAGGAGCGTATAAAAATGTACAAGGAGACTCCTCTGTCCTTCCCCGAAACTCAGACCCCTTTTCTAGATCACCATGACTACACACAGATCATCTTTTTTTTTTTTTTTGAGTACCATTGAAAATATGCTATTTCTGTAAAATCACCTGGCTTTGCCACAGAGGCTATAGAATAAAGACTGATAAATAACATGAAGTATACAAACCAAAAATAGTCACTTCCTTTGCTTTTGCAACTCAGTTTTCTTAAATAAAGACTGTTTTGCATTAATATGGGACACCAGAGATGTATTAACAAATTAGAGAGACACATTGACCAAATTAAATAAAACTGTATTTAACGTAGTGGTGGTGTAATGGGAGAGAGATCATTTGAGTCTCAGGGGATGACGTAAATTTGGCGAGCTGTCCCTTTAAGACGGATAAAGTTTTAGGGTCAGATATTTTTTTATCAGCTGTATAAAACGGGAGGTTTTCTGACTGTGTGTGTTTCAGTGAAGTGTTCCAGTAGGGGGGGCGGTATTACCTCATATTTAGAGCATCAACATCACATAAAGTCTTTTTGTTTCCACCATCTGATTTGAGGTTTCCGTATGGCCGTGTTGCAGGATGTGTGTGTGTGGATGTGTGTGTGTGTGTGTGTGTGTGCGTGCGTGCGTGTGACTGGGAGTGTGTGCTTCAATAAGATATCGTTGTTTTGTCCCAGTTTTGGCCCATCTTGCTCGAGCGTTGCATCCTGGGTAGCTGGACGTCCACTTCCTCCTCGCTGTCATCTGACTCAGCGCTGGTGATGTCATCTTCCTCCTCCTCCTCATCATCCTCCTCTTCTTCTTCTTCCTCCTCTTCCTCCTCCTCTGCAGCCTGAGGCTCTTTCAGGTTCTGTGGTGAGAAATATGTCAGAAACGAGCAAGTGGATAAATTCCCCTTTCGTTTTTTGAGTGTTTCTACAGTGGTACTCCATGGTACAAGTGTTCAATGCTTTAAAGTCAAAGCTGTTACACTGAATGAAAATCTGCTCAAAGATTGTATGTCTGAGACACGATGAATCAAACTACCATGACAACACATTAAACCCATGACCCAAATCATGTCTGCAACAATAAGAATTCTTTGTTCTCATCAAATCAGAGAAACCAGGTCCCACAATTTCATAAAGTTATACTGAAGGACTCTTTTGTGCATTATTCCATCCTAAAATTAAACACAGAATTAAATCCCAGATCAGATTTACGTTAAAGAGTCTTGAAAATATTGTCTAAGTGTCATCATATCATATGTTATCATATCTAGTCTTATTGTATTGTATCGTATTATAACGTATTGTATCGTACTGTATTGTATCATATTGTGTTGTATCGTAGTGTACTGTACCGTATTGTACTGTATTGTATCGTACTGTATCGTATTGTATCATATTGTGTTATATTGTACCGTATTGTATCGTACTGTAGTGTACTGTATTGTATCGTAGTGTACTGTATTGTATCGTAGTCTACTGTATCGTAGTGTATCGTATCGTAGTGTATTGTATTGTATCGTAGTGTACTGTACTGTATTGTATCGTACCGTATTGTATCGTAGTATACTGTACCGTATTGTATCGTACTGTATTGTATCGTACTGTATTGTGTTGTATCGTACTGTATTGTATCGTATCTTATTATATCGTATTGTACCATATTGTGTTGTATCTAGGGCTGTCAAGTTAACGCGTTAACGCAAAAAAAAATTAACGCCACTAATTATTTTAACGCGATTAACGCATGTGTATTTTTTTTCCTCGGCCGCCCCGTAGTTTCAGAGCGCATCGAGTTTAAAATACCATCTACAGGCTGATGCTGACAGCCCCGCTCCTGCCGCCCGCTTGTGACAGACCACACTTCCACGCTCACCGGCAGGCACCGACTGGCCATCTGGAGGACCGGGAGGGTGTGTGTATGTGTGGCCCGAGCGAGCGAGAGAGAGACCTTACGTGCATTGTTGTTGTTAGCATCTGGTGCTAGCTAGCTGCGCTAACGGATATAAGGAGCTGTTTAAATGAAAATAGAGGAGCGACATTTCGCCGACAACTGCGCCGAGCACTTGACTTTATGCAGGAAGCCAGACAGTGGGACATTGTACGAACAGTCAGCACACTCAGCACGGATAGTGCAACACACACACACACACACACACACACACACACACACACACACACACACACACACACACACACACACACACACACACACACACACACACACACACACACACACACACACACACACACACACACACACACTTTGTATTGTATTATTGTATGAGAGAGGTTCCAGGTTGAATTGAGGCGAATATTTGTAATGTTCAGAGGTTGTTGTGTTTAATATTCATGAGAATATTTGTCATTGTTCAAATGATAATAAACATTAGCATAAAGCATATTTGTCCACTCATATGTTGATAAGAGTATTAAAAACTTGAAAAATATTCCTCTAAGGTGCATTTAGAACAGATCAAAAATGTGCGATTAATCGCGATTAACTATTTTAATCGACTGACAGCCCTAGTTGTATCGTATCATATCAAATCGCATTGTAACGTATCACATTGTTACTAAATGATCAGTAGTAAAATCAAGAAAAAATGACATTGGCTTATTATTTTACTCCTAAAGCAGAACATGGACATGTCTTAATTTCTCTTGTTCATATTCCAGTCACTAATGTACACATCTTATATATCCCTGTATCCCCCCCTCCTACCTCCATGGGGTTGACGGTGATGGTGAGAGCCGAGTCGTCCCAGCTCCCCTCCGCCTCTCTAGCCGTCTCCCCCAGCCTCCCCTCCTGCTGGTGGGTCAGGTGGATCCGGTAGATCCCGAACACCACCACCACCACAAGGGCAGCGATGCACATCACGATCACCAGGGTGGCAGCACTGGGCACGGCTGAGGAGAGGAGAGTGAGAATCAGAAACAGGTTTATTACCAGGTAGGTTGACACGTACGAGGAATTTGACTTGTCGTAAAACAAAAATGAAAAAAACACAGATAGAATAGAATAGAGACATCTTTGGAAACGTCCATAACAGCCCATTGAATTAGTCTCTCTATATGCTAAAATTAAAATAGAAATCCCACAAACTTTAACTGTCTTTAGGTTTGAAACATTGATTTTCAGACAAGAAACATTTTATCCGAACATAAAATGATTCAAGTCACCAGTTTTTGTATTCTCTAAATATGTCATGCACTAATTTAATATGACATTCAGAAGGCTGAGTTAGACCCTGTTGAATGAACACATAGATCCAACATATCCCAAACAGAATAGAGACATCTTTGAAAAAATGACTTGAAGTCGATAAATGTTCCATCTGCTAAAGATACAATACGTTCTTCTTCAGATAACCAGGTAATCCCACATACTTTTACTAGCTTTTTCTTTAAATATGTTTTGGTCAAAAACGTTATCTGAACACAAAATATTTCATGTCACCAGTTTTCTATTCTTAGACTTCAAACACTTCAAAAAGGTACTGCAGTTATTTCATTTGACATCAGAAGGCTGCATTAGACCCTGTAAAGGAGCACTAAGACCCTACTGTATATCCCATAATGCATTTAACCCTCCTATTGTCTTCGTTTCCCCCCCCTTACTTTGGTGTTCGCGGTCAAATCCTGTGTTAACTGCTATTATATTAACACAAAAACCATTAATCATCACCACATTTCATTTAACACCCTTTCAAACTGTACATATTGTATCAGACTACTGGTATACATGAACAACTGCAGTAAATATACAAAGAATAGACACTGAACATGTATTGCGTGTGCCAGGTGTGATCCATGTGGGGGGATGGGCACATAAGAGCGGGAAATGTATCAAATTGTTCTGTGTGTGTGCGTGTGTGTGTGTGTGTGTGTGTGTGTGTGTGTGTGTGTGTGTGTGTGTTTTATCTGATCCGGATGGTTACTAATTCCTTTTCTTTATGGCGGTCACTTTAGAGCGGGAACACCATGGGTGTTACAAAGTTGACTAAATCATCCAAAATTCAAAGAAAGTGTGGTCAGCAATTGTATGTTCAAATGTTTACTGTGAAGGATATCATGAAGCCTTGATGCAATCTAATGTACAACAAAAAAGTTATGATTGATGAAAGTAGTAAATCGGTCAGATTTGACCCTAAGACAACAGGAGGGTTGAAGCATCTTTCTATCTCGCCCCACCTTCTGTAAAGCTTACAGCCTTTAGATAAGTCATAGTTACTACCGTTCATTGGTCATCTGAGAAGAGAGGAGAGCGAGAGGTGAAGGAAAACAGAATAGAGACATCTTTGGAAACGTCCATAAAAGCCCATCAACTTAGTCTCTCGATATACAGTACTAAAGTTAAAATAGAAATCCCACAAACTTTAACTGTCTTTAGGTTTGAAAAACGTTTGTTCTAAAGCAGTGGTTCTCAACTGGTGGGTCGCGACCCAAAAGTGGGTCGCGGACCCGTTTCGAGTGGGTCGCGGATGTGTGAGTGAAGAAAAAATAATAATTGGAATTTCTTTTTTTCTTTTTTTTTGGGGAAAAAGTCAAACTTTTATTTTGAAGGCCCGATTTTCTAACGCTGTGCATGCAGTCGGCGTTGGACTGGAAGTACCAGAGACCATAAACGTCATCTTCTCAATAAAATATCTTTGCTGATGTTTTTTCGAGTCTTCTGGCCAATCAGAATCAAGATTGTTGCCCGAAGTCCCCACGGAGAATAACTTAGCGGTAGAACTCTTCTTTATACATCCATGGGTACAACTTCAGATAGAAATGAACACATAATGAAATATGACCCCCGGTCTGATGACTGACAGGTCACAGAACAATGGGAGCTATCTACCCTTACCCACAATTTAAAGTAAGTCACACAGACCATCTCCTCTTTGCTCTTCAAGATGTGTGAAAAACAAACAATGGCATAAAATATTATTAATATGTTGGGTAGTAATATATTTATTTATTTTCTTCTCAGAGTACCAGAATGCATAGTTTATGTTAGTATTTCTAAAAATCTCCTGGGGGAGATCCCCCCAGACCCCCTGCTGGGGTTGGGTTTTCAGCATGTGTGCCTTTTATATAGTTCAGCTTTGATTCCATCATCTCATAAACCTTTTTAAAAAGCATATTTTAGTTCTGTGAAGGGATATAAGGGATATATGCACTGTACTTCACTTTTATTAATATTGTATGCTGAAAAGCGTATATATTCAGAGGTGCACATAACTTTTTTGCCCTGGTTCTCAAAGGAGCACCTGGAGATGTTGCTTGGTGCTCATCCTTAAAATGAAATAAACCGTAACTTTTGAGGGGCTCTTGACTTTATTTGCCAGACACACGGCACTGAACACACATGCAGAGGTGAACACAGAACACACATGCAGAGGTGAACACAGAACACATTAGCACGACCAGTAATCCTACAAGCTGTCATCACTACCCTCCTGACTGTTCTCCTCACTGTCTTCCTCTCTGTCAGACATGGTAGCTGATGATGTAGGCCTACTACTTTCTTTCTGGTTGAGTCTGCGATTAGCTGCTTGCATCCACAAGTCAACAGCTGGGTTTGGGTCGAAAGTCTGTGTTGTCATCTTAGACAAGTGGATGTAATCAAATAAGTATGTGAACATAACCAATAACCTACCATAGCCAATAACAAATTAATGTAACTTATTTTATGTGTGTTGTTCATTCATATCTTATTTTACCTTAACATTTATTTATTTATGCATTTTTTTTAATCTCTCCAGTTTTAAAGGATATTTTTGGTTACTGTCCTATAGTATACATTGGAATGATTTAAAACCTGTTTATCCCAATAATTACAAAGGAGTGCCTTGGAAATATGTGTTTACATAAATTGTGACCAAACTGTTTGAACTTAGACTAAAGTGAACTATCTAAACACTCAGAGTCCTTTACCTCACTGAGCTGTAGTTATCAGCCTCTCAGTCTGACTGGAGAGAGCTCTCCCTCCACATTATTGTAGAAACATCTTCTTCTTATATCCGTTAGAGCAGCTAGCACCAGATTCTAATAACAACAGCGCTGGTACCGTGCACCATCCCTCTCTCCTCTCCCTCGCACTTTGGCTGTGAGCTGCGGGCGCCAGATAAGCCAACATCCCCCATTTTCATCACTTACAGCGCCCATCGTACAGGGCAAATGAAAGGTGGAACCGGGGTGAAAAGGGTGTTACATTTACTTAATTATGAATATTGTTACATCAAGGCCGAAAATTAGGATGAGCCCCAACGGTCAAAATATTGTTTTCCCTCCCAGAGCTGCCAGCGCAGCGCCTCCCCAGATCTGGCGCCCTAGGCGAACATCTAGCCAGCGCTACGGGCCGACCCTGAGTTCATATCATGGTTCATATGCAACTCGCAAATATCTTTCTCTCTCTTTTCTCTCTCTCATCTCTCCTCTCTCCTCTATTTTCTATTTTCTCTTCTACCTTCTCTCTCTCCCTCTCTCTCAATGTTGGTACGCAAATGCGCTTTGTTTCAAATGACCCGGTGCTCTTTTTTTGGCGGAGGTGCGCATGCGCACTTGCGCACCAGTTATGTGCAGCCCTGTATATATTACAGCACGATTTTTTGTTGAATAGATTTGAGTGCTTCAAAATGTTGGGTCGCGATGTATTGACCAAGTAAAAAGTGGGTCCCGAGGCCTGACCAGTTGAGAACCACTGGCTAAAGGATTTTCAGACAAATAAAATGTTATCCGAACATACAATTATTCAAGTCACCAGTTTTTGTATTCTATAGATCCTACATATCCCATAATGCAACTCTATTGCACCTTTCTATCTTATCTCATATTTCTACGGGTTATCTGTTTGCTTGGATATTGATTGGCGCTTTGTGATATTTATTGAAGTTGTTTCTCATGTTATTGTACGAGAGGCCTTTTCAAACCTAAAAAGGATGATGATCTTATTGTGACAGCCTATTGACTTGTAGGTTTTCAGGAGTATTGACCTGTTTTCACAGTATTTTCCCCTCTCTGTCTTTGTTTAGACCACGGTTGCTTCAGGTCAGCATTCTCTGTCCATCACATTCACCCAGTCTGAAATATCTATTGATTTATCGCCATGAAACATCGTGTAGACGTCCATGTCCCTGTGAACATTCCTCAGGTTCACACTTTAACTCTGAATTCACTGATGTGTTTATCTGAAGGCCTCCTTGCTTTATTATACATTTAGGATCATTTTCTATTGTCTGTTTTCTTTCTTTCTTGTAATCCAATGCATTGCTTTTTCTTGGTAGGATCTTAGGATTTTTAAGTAAGACATTTGTTATTTGTTAATACATTCTGTTAAGCATACATTTTTTTTTTTGCGATGTATTTGAAGCAAAATGTTTGACTTCCTTCTTTCAACCAAGTCTAAGTATTACAGCAGCTCTTGAGTTATAGCTCTGTCAAGGCTTGTCTTGGATGAATCAATTTCAAATTCTAAAATGGCACCTTGGTAGAAAGCACTGTATGAATGCAGTCTTTGAACCATTTTTTTAAATACACATTTGATCACTGCTTTACTTTTGGCAGTATTGTTATAAACTATTATTATTCCCATCAGCCTCAGTGTCGCTTTTCCTTAGTGCTTGCTTTCTACCTGAATCTGTTGATCTATTCTGTCATCAGCCAGAGAAACGTGCAACACATTTGACTGAAAGTCGCTTACAAGTTACAGAGTGTTTCATATATATTTCACGAAAAAAGCACCCATTTAATGAAGGTCCCAGAGCAGAACGCGGCGGCTGCAGAGATGCATCGTAAGCTCTATTAAATATCATAACCACGAGATACATTGAGGGATCTCTCTTGATCTCAAATGTATCTCTCTGCTGCTCTGATCTCCAGCCGACTGAAACAACACGACCCTGCCCTCTCCACCAGTCCCTGCTGCTGTGTGTGTGTGTGTGTGTGTGTGTGTGTGTGTGTGTGTGTGTGTGTGTGTGTGTGTGTGTGAGAGTGTGTTTAACGAGAGGGAGACCCACAGAGGACTCTTCAGATAATCATTTGATTCAGTCTAGTTCCCTAGATTTTCACACTTAATCCACGGCCTTTGATCTTCCTCGCAGTGAAGCTTCATGCAGCCCCTTAAAGTAACTTGGATGAGTGTTTGCACGTGTACACACACACACACACACACACACACACCCAGCGTTTCTCCCGCATGATATCATCTGAAACACTCACGTGTGCTACCGACACGCCCTGATAGCAACTGTACAAATCGTATTACGTATTGTTGCCACACTCTTATTTCCAACTACCCATCGCCCTCTCTGCTCCTCTGACCTCCTTCCCCCACACACACACACACACACACACACACACACACACACACACACACACACACACACACACACACACACACACACACACACACACACACACACACACACACACACACACACACACACACACACACACACACACACACACACACACACACAGTCGGGCCACTGAACTCTCCAGGACTCTAAGTAGAATCCATTAGAGTCTGATGAATAATTAAAGCTGGTGTGTTAGATTAAGACCAATGTCTCTCCTCCTCACCATGTTCCCTTTACTTCGGATCACTCACTCGCACCGAGGGAGGAGGGATAAGCCCCAGTGCATCATGGGAGAAGGCCCCTTCACGCCGCTGTGTGTGTAACACGGCGTGAGCGCAGCAGTCGGATGAACGCAGCGATAAACAAACTAGAAAGCGAAACCGAATGTTCCCTTGGATCCCGCCATGTTTACCCCCGGATGGATAGCTGACACACGGCTGTGGCTCAGTGGTTAACAAGACTGGTTCTCAGCACTTCGCTTTACATCTGCCTATCGGTGATTTGTCAAGTCACATTCATATTTCCCAAAACACAGGTACCCGCTGTGAGATGTGATCCTCTATTCTTACACATCACTAACTCACACCTGCAGCTCACAGTGATTCCAGCCCCATAACGGCACTATGCTTTTGTGGCCATATATTTTGAGTTGTTTTAATATCACTTATCCATAAACCGCATTAGCCTGTGACAACGTGGAAACGTATTCATCTGCAATTGAGTATCTCTGCTATAGATTATTAAAAATCCATTATATCTCGGCTGGTGAAACTGTGTGGGTGTGATGAGATGTGATCGGACCTGACAGGAAGCGACATCAATATGCAAATGAAATAGGAAAGGCGAAAATGAATCTAATAAATGAGTTTACAAAAGGAATGATGTGTTATTGTAACTCTTTCTGTAAAGCCCATGGCTCTAATGCAGTCTAAACATACGTATCTATAATGTGTTATAATCTGATTAAAGGGCTTTCTAATAAGAGCTAAATAAATATTCAGAACATCATGACACACATTTTACAATGACTTAAAGGTAAAACACATACATCTATAACTGTAGGTCACAATTTGTTTGCAAGCCATGACAAACAACCCATTATAAGACGATAGTGCATTCAGTACATGATGATTAGGCATTAAAGGGGATCCTTAAAGAACTAATACAACACAATAATTGGATTATAACACACTAAGATTCTTGCAAATGTGTCAGTGAAGACCAGCTCATAGGAAGTTTCATGATACTTGACCTTATAAGCCATTTTAAAATGCTTAATATGGTGTAGTGAAAATACTGCACTTAAATCAGATTATAACACATAACAAGTATTTTATCAAAGCACATGAAAGACTTCTGACATTCTTCTGGATCCATCTATTTTATATAAATGATTAATTATGTAATTTCGATGGTATATCTTGTGATTTTATTTGCTTTTTAAAATCTCTATTGCACGTCTGAGATAGCGATCTCTCCTCTGTTGCTCTCCACAACGTTTATTTCATTTATTTCCCAGTTCATTTGGGTTTCTCTGGGAGTTATCGCTTGTCCGCTGCGAGGGTTTAAGGACAGAGTGTGTCGTATGCTGCACACACAGACACATGTGTAATTCATGATTTCGATGGTATTTCAATGTAGAAAACATCTCCTTACCTGAGCTGTGGCTGGGGTAGAGGTCGTGCATCATGGACGGATGGTGCACCACCTGCATGTACTGAGGCGGGGCTACCATGTGATTGACATGCTCCCCTGCGTCTGAACTGTGCAGCACGCTCACCTGCAGAGATGGCAAAAGTACACACATCCTTTACTCAAGTAGAAGTACAGATACTCGTGTTAAAAAATACTCTGGTAAAAGTAGATGTACCGACTAAACTTCTTTACTCAAGTGAAAGTAAAGACTTTGAAATGTACTTCAGTAAAAAGTACCCATAACTAGCAGCTGTTTTAAAGAGTACCTGACCTCCCTTTATATTAATAGAACAATAATGTCATTGTTAGCTAATGAATGTTTCCATGCTGAACAACGGCAACATGACAACGTTTCCATTGGTCCCTCTTCTGTAGAGAAGACCAGGAAATGATGGACGGATCGTGTTCAAATCAATAGGCACGCAATGACTCTAAAGAATAATGATCACGCATCAAACACACATTCAGACTAAAGGAACCAGCTGTTTGGAAAATGAGAGAAGTAGAAAGTACAGGTATTTGTGTTCAACATGTAAGAAGTAGAAAGTACAGGTATTTGAGTTCAACATGTAAGAAGTAGAAAGTACAGGTATTTGTATTCAACATGTAAGAAGTAGAAAGTACAGGTATTTGAGTTCAACATTTAAGAAGTAGAAAGTACAGGTATTTGAGTTCAACATGTAAGAAGTAGAAAGTACAGGTATTTGTGTTCAACATGTAAGAAGTAGAAAGTACAGGTATTTGTGTTCAACATGTAAGAAGTAGAAAGTACAGGTATTTGGGTTCAACATGTAAGAAGTAGAAAGTACAGGTATTTGTGTTCAACATGTAAGAAGTAGAAAGTACAGGTATTGAGTTCAACATGTGAGAAGTAGAAAGTACAGGTATTTGAGTTCAACATGTAAGAAGTAGAAAGTACAGGTATTTGTGTTCAACATGTAAGAAGTAGAAAGTGCAGGTATTTGAGTTCAAAATGTAAGAAGTAAAAGTAAAAAGTCGAAAAATGTACTTAAGTACAGTAACAAAGTATTTGTACTGCACTACTTCCCACCTCTGAACACCTGGGTGGGAAACAGATGAGGATTTAGGAGAATAAAGTCCTAATTTGACATCCATTCAGTCCCAAAGCCTCTCACCTGAACCTGCCTCATGCAGCTGATATATATTCCAGACGATGATAAAGTGAAGATTTGAGAGAAAAGGTAAATAGCAATGTAATGAATTAATCGCCTTTTGGGAGACCGAGTCAGTGCAATACAGGAAATGAGATGTAAAGCAGATTCACCGACAGCCTCCAAGGTTCAAACCATGTCAGTGAAACATTTTGTTCCCTCAAACAAGCGGCAGAGACTGTTTGAATAAGTCCAAGGACAGACACACACAGCAGTGAGCCGACACTGTGAGCTTCTTCATAAAGCGAGTGTATAACAAGTGGACTGCCAGAGAAGCCTGATTCCCTCAGAAGTTCAGGGTCTCTATAGGAGAGGGTGAAGTGCGCAGAGTGCCGTCTTTCCATATGTTGAACCAATCGGTCCGTGTGTTCAGCTGCTGTTGAGAGCACTGGTTTGATTTGAGAGCTTGTCATTAACACGGTTGGAGATAATCACATTTCTCACGCAATTTCCATCCTACAAAATGTTGTGAGTGGAATTGCGTTCGAGTTGAGGTTTTCCTGCATATCATGTTTCAATTGCTAATTTCCCAACGTCGTTATGCAACTACAGTAAGGGTGAAAGTCGATACGTTCTGAGGCTTCATTTTAATATTTCCTCTCAAAGGGAACATGTTGCCGGAGTCTCTTCAGTCACTTTGGTCCACTTTATTGCTCTGGCTCGAGCGACAAATTGCGGTTTCCAACTTCTGACTGTCATAAGTGATAGTTATGATGTTTGAAAATAGTTTCATGTTCATGTCCTGTCAGCCCTCGGATAATGTTGTTGCATAGTCACTACATTTCCGGGAAATTCATCTTATATTAATAGATGGGCAGGACATGCCATCTTTTTTCCCCACCAATGTTACTTAACTTAAGTAAAGTAAAGGCACTCAGGAGAACTGCATTAACAATCAGCTGGGCTGTAACTAACGCTTTATGATCAAATAATGAACTGATGTTTCTCTCCATTAATGAGTGTTCATAGAAACACTCAGCTCTCCTGTAGGTGAGGTTTTCAGCTTCTTTTGTTGATTAACAATCCGACCAAAATCCAAAGATATTCAGATAACTGTCACATATGATGAGCCACATCAGCATTTGGTGTGAACTATAAGGCAATGCAGTTGACCTTGCAATGAAAAACATTTGTGAAAAAGCCTGTTGGTATTATCGAGGCAGCGAGAGGAGGGTCCATTTCTATAAAAACCTGTCTGAAAATGAGCTGATCAGATTTTGGCCACTTTATGATGTCATAACGATGTTTTGTCTTGTGTAACCATTAGCCAATCAGCAACCAAGGTAACCCCCCCCCCCCACCTTATCACCTGAATCTCCTCCTATGCGGCTTTCACACCAGCGCTTTTCCCTTTCTAGCTCCGAGCTAGAGCTTTTCTGGTTCAGCTCCGGTTTCCCTTTTCTGCTCCCGCTATGTTCACACCGCCCAGCACCCGACTGGTGCTGCCGCTGCTGCGTCATGACGTCACCGTTTACATCGCTGATTTGCTCCCCAACGGCATTACGGCGCTCACAACAACAACAACTGCGTCGGGTCGATGATCGTGTTGCTTTTAATCACACGAAGCCAGATTAAATTGAATAACGACTTCTCCAACCTTATACTTTGCTCCAGAGTGCCGTGGTTCATTGTTTATTAATGTGTTTCTGCAGCATTTACCGACCGCAGCAGTGTTGGCTGCTCTTCCACGGGAGTTTATTCTCCTCCGTTAGCTCCCGGTTAGCTCACACTGCAGCGGCCGCTCTAAAGTATTCACTGTCCGACTCACACAAGCAGCTGATACATATCCCCAGTTCCCCTTAGCCTAAGTGAATGTGTGTCAGTCTGAATTGACGCTGTTTGGTATCACAACGCTGTTATGAAAGTTTCTCTGGTATAACATGGGTGATGTTAGCATAGCAACCGAAGCTAAACTGACTACTTGCTATTGCTATCCTATTGTGGCATAAACCGTTTTCTACAGGCACATTTTACCAGCGTATTTTTATTATGATTCTACTTGTGATAGTCGGACACGACAACCTGTGCAGCCCATGTATTGATTCCATCCGATAGCTGCTATAATACAAAACAAAACGTCTGCCTCTCTCCACAATGATCAATAACAGTGAACGGATGGTCAAAGTAAGGTACACATAAACAGAATCACACGAAGCCTGGTTCGTGTTGCCTGACTTTATAAAGTGTGTTTATAAGCACTACTGCTTGTAGGCAGGCATGACAGTCGACCCATGTTCAGGGGAGGAGGGTTTAGTTTCCTGCACGCCTTGACGTATAGAGAGACGTAAGCGACGCCACCTCTTAGCTCCGAAGCTCTTGCCTCTAGACCGACAATTTTTTGGAGCTGGAAGTGAACCGGATTGCGGAGCTAAGAGCCGGCGCCGCTGCGGTGTGAACAGGAAAAACCGGCGCTTTTCAGGCTCCAGCTCCGAGCCGGAGCTGAAAAAGCGCTGGTGTGAAAGGGGCACTAGAGAACCATTGAGTTCTTTGTAACCAAATGTCTCTCAGAGGGGCGTGGGGAGGGGCTCCTTATTTTCATCTAAAGTAACAGACAGAGAATCAGCACTTTGGAAACAGGGCTGAAACAGAGGGGATTATGGGTAATGCTGCAATGATCTGTTTGGTGTTTCAGCCAATCAGAGACAGGTTCTGTATATATCTGAGACCTGTAATATATTGATGAAAAACAGTATAATAGGAGACCTTTAAATTCACTTATCATGATCAACATCATGCCGTAGCTCACACTGACCTCCAGGTCGAACTCGTTGCTGGTGTAGCGTCCGTTGAGCTCGGAGCAGGTGAGGCGAAACCGTCTCTCTGTCATCTGACCGGGCCGCAGGTTATAGTAGCGCACCTGTCGGATCACCTGCTCGTAGTTAGACATGGAGTCCACACCTGAGGGAGGACACAGCAGGGGGTTATTATACTGTAGTTCCAAAACTGTGGAACTCTCTCCCTATACTCATCCGCTCTGCAGTCTCTGTGTAGAAGCTTGACTTCTATGACTGAAGACCCATCTTTTTACATTGGCTTTGTTTCTACTTGAGATGTGTGTGAGGTGTTCTGTTCTTGTGTTTGTTCCTTTCAGGACTCTATGTGGTCTGTGTTTTATAAATGTCTGCCTCATGTTGTTATTGTATTCATGTTTCTGTGGTCTTCATTTGAACTTTTGTTCTTTCTTGTGAAGCAATTTGTTAATTGTATTTCTATGAAAGGTGCTATAATAAATAATACTCGATAACACACCACTGCTAAGCAAAGTAATGACAGTTCCTGAGGAGGATCGAGGGAGAAGAGGATGTAAGAAGTAGAAAGTACAGGTATTTGTGTTCAACATGTAAGAAGTAGAAAGTACAGGTATTTGTGTTCAACATGTAAGAAGTAGAAAGTACAGGTATTTGAGTTCAACATGTAAGAAGTAGAAAGTACAGGTATTTGTGTTCAACATGTAAGAAGTAGAAAGTACAGGTATTTGTGTTCAACATGTAAGAAGTAGAAAGTACAGGTATTTGTGTTCAACATGTAAGAAGTAGAAAGTACAGGTATTTGTGTTCAACATGTAAGAAGTAGAAAGTACAGGTATTTGAGTTCAACATGTAAGAAGTAGAAAGTACAGGTATTTGAGTTCAACATGTAAGAAGTAGAAAGTACAGGTATTTGTGTTCAACATGTAAGAAGTAGAAAGTACAGGTATTTGTGTTCAACATGTAAGAAGTAGAAAGTACAGGTATTTTTGTTCAACATGTAAGAAGTAGAAAGTACAGGTATTTGAGTTCAACATGTAAGAAGTAGAAAGTACAGGTATTTGAGTTCAACATGTAAGAAGTAGAAAGTAAAAAGTCGTCAGAAAAATAAGCAGTGGAGTAAAGTACTGATACCAGAGAAATGTACTTAAGTACAGTAACGAAGTATTTGCACTCCACTACTTGCTACCATAGTAACATACCGTATATGGACATGCCAGATGTGGAGTTGGTGGCGTCGAGATGTTTCCCGAGCAGAGCGCTGCGCTGAAGTTGGAGCGACTCCTGCTCCGGCCTCAGCTCCTCGCCCAGAACCAGAACATCACAGTAGTCCAAGTTATGAATGATCTCCTCCTGCACCCCCGGTCGGTGTGCTACAAACACACACACACACACACACACACACACACACACACACACACACACACACACACACACACACACACACACACACACACACACACACACACACACACACACACACACACACAATACACAGGCTGCTGTTATTTATCTTCTGTGATGCCTATTATCAAAAGAAAATACATAAGGATTCTTTGCCCTTTTCATTTTCTTCATGGTTTAATCCTAGGATTTTAAAACACGAAGAACTTGGATGTAGTGTCAGTTCCTATTTATAGTTCAGAATATTATTTTGAATTGTGTCGCTGTTTTTTTGAAAGCCCATTTCTATTTTCAGTGTAGTTACAAGTTTTGGAAAGTACATTTACTGAAACACAGAAGTATCATTTTGAGGTTCTTTACCTTACTTGAGTACTTCCATTTTATAAAACAACTTCTCCTCATTCATGTGATAGTTCTGCAAATTCATATTATTCATACTTTATATATTAAATTATACTTATACTGTCTGTTATGTGTGATTGCACCATCCATCCATCTGTCTGTCTGTCTGTCTGTCTGTCTGTCTGTCCGTCTGTCCGTCCGTCCGTCCGTCCGTCCGTCCGTCCGTCCGTCCGTCTATCTATCTATCTCTATATCTATCTATCTATCTCTATATCTATCTATCTCTCTCTATATCTATCTATCTGTCCATCCATCTACTAGTATCTATCTCTCTGTCTGTCTGTCTGTCCATCCATCTATCCATCCATCTATCTATCTATCTATCTCTATATCTATCTATCTCTCTCTATATCTATCTATCTATCTCTCTCTATATCTATCTATCTATCTATCTATCTCTCTGTCTGTCTGTCTGTCCATCCATCTATCTATCTATCATGCAACATGTAAATCGACTAATAGATTATTATGTACTATTACTGATTATGATACATCTTCTTTTTAACTTAAATTAAAGATCTAAGTACTTCTTCCACCTCTGCTAGTGAGGCTACATAAGTTCATATCAAAACCAAAACAATCTAACACTGTACATTGAAGGTAACAATGGCTGTCCCATAGCAGTCTAATTGCTGCTGCCATGCCGAAACGTTCCCAGGAGAAAAACCCGGAACATTTTGAAGAACCATAATTCATCCAGGACACCACACACCTGCTCCTACATCCAGACTCCAATTATTCGTCAACTCTCTGAACACAGACAGGGCCGTGAGCTGCTGTGGTAACAAGTCCCCTCAGAGTCAGACACCCCCCCTGCTGGGAACCTTCGACAGTCTGCTAAGCACAAGCCTCCACATTCTCCCTCAACGTACTCCCCCTGGGGAGGAAACCGGCTCTGCCCATTTAATAGCTTCCCGATGGAGGAAGACAGATATGTGTGTGTGTGTGTGTGTGTGTGTGTGTGTGTGTGTGTGTGTGTGTGGACGGAGGGTCTCTGGGGAAGTAGAGAGATGAGGTGGAGAAAAAGAGGGAGTGCATTGAGCAAAACAAGTAGAAAGAAAGTTGTGTTCCAGAAGAGAAACTTCTTTAAAAAGGCTTGTAGTCCTGTCTAATCCAAAAATGTACATATCCACAAAATCCAGTCTCACGGCATTTCGTGTTATAGTCACGAAATGTAATCTATTGATTCGTGTTCACTAAGCAATGTATTTCTATTGGTAGTGTGTTTCGTGCCTGCACCAAAGAATAACACATTAGAAGGAAAAACAAAACAAAAAAGTACAGATGTCAGTATTCTGAGCCCAATTTCTTTTGCTCACGGATGGCAAAAAAAGTCCGACCTTATAGAATTTCAAATAAAAGGGATAGGGTTAGGCTTAGGGTAAGATATTGAGTAAGAAAATGTTTGTATGAACCCCACAGCTTCCGGTCTTTCAAGACCCGACCGGACAAAAAGACGTGGTGCAGGCACGAAACATACTACCAATAGAAATAGATTACTTTTAAAATCGTTCTGTGTGACGCGATGAAAAGGGGAACATCGTGTTGGTGAACACGAATCAATAGATTACATTTATTTTCGTGACTATAACACAAAATGCCGTGAGACTGGGTTGTTCCACAAGTAGCAATAAGCTTGACTCCAACACAAATACGTCTCAGGAAAGTTTGGTTGACTCTTTACTTAAAACAAAGTACAAACACAACACATATGTTCAACGGCTGGTTTAAATAAATGATATAATAATTAGGGCCGGGATTCGATTACAAAAATTAATCTAATTAATTAGAGGCTTTATAATTAATTAATCGAAATTAATCGCATTTTTAATCACATATAAATATTTGACCTAAGAACAGTGAGAAGCAATTTTTTTCACATGGATTTTAGTATACCATTAGGCGCATTCACACCGCAGTACTTTTCCCACAAAGGTTCATGAGAACTTAGTTCATGAGAACTCTTTGAACCTGGGGGAGGATTAGGCAAATGAAGCCGCTGACGTCACTTCTTCTTCTTCTGCTTTGGGCTTACTGGCAGGCCGCAAACCACTTCACGGCGTATACTGCCGCCCAAAGTCCCCGGCCGGAAGTCCCCGGAGTTAGGGGACTGGCTTCAGTTGAAGCTGCTGGGAGTCCCAGCAGCTTCTAACTGAAGCCTTCCGAGTAAATCGCCAGAACGCCGACACCTCCTCATCTCCACCGCTCCCATGTTTTATTTTGTGTTGCCATAAGTTAGTCTCTCTGCGTTTCTGCGCTGGGCTAATGCTAATAATGCTAATAATGCTAATAATGCTAATGCGAGGATAATAAAATGGCGGCTTCACAAAACTTTTTGGGAGTTTTACGGGGCGTGGTTTGCAATCCGCCCAGCCAATCAGAAATATAGCTCTTTTCTCACAAGAGAGCCGTACGAAAGTCCCTGCTCTCTAGCAGCTCTCTGCTCTCTAGCAGGGACTTTCGTGGGGGTAAAAAGGTTCTCATGAACTAATTTTAGTACCGGCTCTTTTTGGTGTGAACGCGATAAAAGAGGCTAACGTCCACGCTAGCTTCCACGCTAGCTGCTATATGTTTTGCATTGAGGTGATACTTGAGGCTTGATGTGCTGCGGTGATATGCGAATTCCTTTTTGCATAATTTGCACACAACCGTGCTCTTATCGACGCTTCCATCCCTCCGTTTTTTAAAACAACATTTCCCACTGTTGTTCACTGTGGTTTGTTGTTGTCTGAAGTCATGAACGTTAGTTGGTGCTCCAGTATAATCGGTACGCCTGAAACTCATCCAGTGAGAAACGTTCCGCGGTGCAAAAATAAGTGCGATTAAAATGCGTTAATTTTTTTAACGCGTTAATTTTTGTGTAATTAATTAATCTTAGTTAACGCGTTAAAGTCCCGGCCCTAATAATAATACTAATAACAAAGAATTACAATGTTCAAATATATATATATGTAAACACATAATATCAAATGATACATTTTAACATATGGCTCCTACAGTGCCCTTTAGTTGAGGGTTGCTTTCAGTGAAAGGGGGATTATATTATAATATATATTATATTATTTCATGTAGCGTTGGCGTCCCTTTTAGACTGTTAGCTCATTGTTTTGGTTGAGCACGTTCTCCACAGCAGCTGTTTAATGCAGAAACAGCTCTGCTAAAGCAATTGCAATCCATATGCTCAGCACCAAACAGACACAATTAGCAACTTGCTGTTAAACATATTGTGAGAGTTAGCAGTTAGAAACAGATATTAGATTTACATGTGTCTGGTGGAAATAAACACAACTTTAAAGTAATGCTAGCATTGCTCTGTGACAGCTGGATGTGTGAGTATTCAAACATTAGCTTTACTTTGCCTATCAGACTGTTAGCTCGTTGTTTTGTTGAGCTGGTAGTAAGTTCTCCACAGCAGCAGGCAAAAGGCTCTGATGAAGCAATTGCAATCCAAATGCTCAGCACAAAACAGACACAATTAACAACTTGCTGGTGAACATATTGCGTCAGTTAGCAGCTAAGAGACTGATGACCCCCAGGAGTTGTTGGAAAAAATACATAGAGCGAAAAGAGAGCTGAATATTGGACTGCTGGATGTGTGAGTAAGCACACATTAACTTTACGTTGCTCTTCAGACTGTTAGCTTATTGTTTTTGGTGAGCTGTTAGCGAGTTCTCCACAGCGGCAGGCAAACGGCTCTGATGAAGCAATTGTACTCTAAATGCACAGCACCAAACAGACAGAATTAGCTACTTGCTGTTGAACACTGTTGTGTTGAATAACTCATTGTTATTACTGTCCAGCTGTACAACCTAACCCTGGACCGCCCAGTAGTAGTAGACAGATCGCTACTCCTGCTGATTTTAAAGCTAGGTCTGGGTTGGGTTTCATCCACTTGAATGTGCGCAGTCTGTTAGGTAAACTAGATTTTGTCCGTATCTGGGCGAGCTCGACTGACGCTGACGTCATTGTTTTATCAGAAACATGGCTAAACAAATCTATTTTGGCCTCTGACATTGCCTTAAATGGTTTTAATGTGTATCGTACCGACCAGCCTAATAAAGGTGGTGGCGTTGCCATTTATGTTAAGAATAAGTTCAGTGTAACCGCTGTAGTTTCCAAATCTATCAGTAAGCAATTTGAATTGTTAGCCTTCAATATAGAAGTGGCAAAGGGTCAACAGGTCATGGTCGTGGGCTGTTACAGACCCCCCTCAGCTGTCAAAGACTCCTTGTCTTCGTTGGCAAATCTTTTATCACAACTAGACTACAAGGAAATAGTGCTACTTGGTGATTTTAACTGGGACTGTTTAACTGCAGTGTCAGAGGATTTTAAAAACCTTTGTATCTCTTTAAATGTTACTCAGATTGTGGACAGTCCTACTCGCCCTAATATTAAGTCCCCTAATAAATCCTCCCTAATTGATCTCATTTTAACTAATGTTCCCCATAAATACTCATCTGTGGGAGTATGTGCTAATGATTTGAGTGATCACTGTGCTGTAGCCACAATTAGGGACACTAAGGTCCAAAAGGGTAAACCTTGCATTATCATTAAGAGAGACACAAAA